AGTCTGGACCCGGCTTTAAGTGCTTGATGGGTATTATGGAAACCTTACCCTCATTCTCATAACCAACTCCATGGAGCAGAATTCTTCTTAAGAAGCTGATAGTTGGTCAGTTGGTGAATAATTCCCTATCTTTCTGGAACCTGAAGGATTATTACCTTTGTTATGGATTATATGCGTAACATATTTATTCCAAATCACCTTCCTCCACCCTCTCCTATATAAGATATGCCTTCATTTTTGAAAGGCAGAACATTCAGACAAGAATATATTTTTATTTATATCAGGTTTTATTATATTATATCTATATAACATGAAATGTTCTTTATTTTAGTTCCTGTTTCAGGCTGCTGTTTGTAAATATTGAATCATAGACAAGTTGTCTGGCAGATGTACAATTGATCCATGCATGTGATTTCTGCTGATGTAAGTGATCAGGCTTTACAGTGCAGTGTATCAGTATTTGTATAAAAGAGTAGGAAAGGTTAGTGTTTTAGCAGGCCTTGCAGGAAAAAAATTATTTGTCAGAGTGGTCACATAGAAATATAAATCCTATTTGTTTTTTTGGGGGGGGAGAAAAAATAATTTGTTGGCAGTATTACAAGCTGTCATTCCCAGATTGATATTGGAGTATCTTTTATTACCTAGTCTCTCTTCATCCTCTGTAAGTCTTCACTCTACACAAAGAAATTAGCCTATGTTGTAGTGTCTCTTGATTCATGTTGTACAAATGTCCCATCTGACAGACTACCATCCATAGTTAAATACTGAGATGCAGAACCTTGTTTGAAGTATCTTTGTTATGTATATTCAGGTCATCTAACACATGTTTACTAATATCTGTCATTGTTCTGTAGATATGTGCTGTGAAAACAGTGAATGTCAATTTTTTGTTAGCATAATGGTTCTAACCCTTTCACTGCTTATGTGGTGTGTTATTTTACACTTTAGCATGCATCTTGAGGACAGGAACCATTACATTAGGTGTGAAGATACTAGTGTTGCTGTATGTCACCTAAAACACTTAGAAACATAATGGGTATAGGCTTCTGCAAATAATTTAGTGATACATTTCATAATTATCTTTTTTAATTATTTTCTGCTTCCTTTTTGTCCCATTTTCTCATGCTTCATGTTAAAGAATTTAATACTTTTTGCTCTTTACTGACAAAGAGAGAGGTCTCAGTATCCAAGCTGCCATATTTCAAAATTAAGTGTAGTGTTGCTATATAATAAAGGACAATATTTTGTTAACAACAGCAGCCTTCCACTGTTAATATTGAATTATCTTGTTTACAAGCAGAATCCTATGTGGTTTGCAGAGGAGTGCTAATCTCAGATCAGAATTTCTTACCGATCTTTAGCTTTGTGTTTGTCAGTGCAATGCACTTCACTGGACCTACAAAAATTTGTTGAAATTGAATTTTCCTGAAGTAAAATTTTAGTAAAAATGTTTAGTGAACCTAGATAAAACTAACATACAGATACACTATTCACATAACAAAGCTCAAAACTGAAATTAGAAATGAAATTTTTAATATTGCCTCATTAATTATTATTATTAATCGTTAATTAATCTTTTTTATTCAGGAATATAGATTTTAAATTACTCAGTACTTATGTGGTTGGTGAAGAGATTTTGACTTTAGTAACAGTTTATCATCTGGGAGTAGATTTTTAAATCTTGCACTATGGGTTTTGAAGCCATGTTTTAACTTGGGCCAATGTTAATCGTATTGCTTCGATAGCGGGGCCATAACGCATGTAGTACAGTATGCTGTGCACAGCAGATAAAGGTTAATAGCACACAATTTTTTCATAGCACTGTTATTTAAAAGACTCGTGCAGAGCGTTAATGGTTAATGTGATTACTTTAAGCTGGTAGCTTCTGCAT